CAAACCATTGCTGGCAAAGAACTACTGTTCACGAGATGCTTGTCGATGTGTTGGTACGCCACATTACGCATCGCCATCGTGTATTTCATTGTTGAATGTTATGCAGAACTAGGCGCACCTTTAGATCTACTGTGTTTTGTTTATATGGCCTGCTCGTTTTAGGGTCTAGGGTCTAGGGTTTAGGGTTTAGGGTTTAGGGTTTCTTGATGGAAGTTTTCTGGTGTGTCATTTGTTTCACATGTGCAGGCAGTACAGCACTTTTTGGGGCCTCTAGAAGCTCGCACGGACCTGCGGGGAGCCGACGTATTCAGTGACGCTGTATCAGCCTTGAAAGCCTTCGAGAAGTTTCACAAAGAACACTGCGGGCCACGGGAGCCAGCCACTCCTACTCCTCAGGCTGCATGCCTGGAGAGGCTAGAAGCGTCGCTTGCTCACCATGCAGCAAACGGGGGACCGGCGAATGTTGCGCAACAGCTTCTGCCTATTCTCAGTCTTTCGTGTCGCTACAGAGACCAGATGGACCACTGGCTCTCTGCGGGCCCTGAAGAACTGGAGAGTCTCTCCTTTTTCCTGGGCCGTGCTATTATCATCGGTTCCCCCGCAGCAAGTCTCGTGTATGCAGACGAGGGAAAAGAGGAGGGCTCGAAACAACAGGAGCAACAACAGCAGGGCCAGCAGCAGGAGCCACAACAGCAGCAACAGCAACCGCAACAGCAGCAACCGCAACAGCCACCAAATCCAAACTTACCACCTAATGAGTTCGCGCTGTACAAGCTTCAGCGAGACCTTGCTCTTTTACCAGAGTTAGCTGTGGAGTTGCATACTGGACCTGAGGAAACCCCAAGTCATATATCTCCGTCTTTGCAGATGAATGCATTGGATGTTCAGACAGCTGAGGACCTTCGCCCGTTCATGCCTGAAGACTTCTCCGTAAGTACTGACATGGAATCCACTGGAGGTGTACAGCAGGCTGGCGATGGCAACAGGAGAAGCCCGCGAAACAGTAGGAAGAGAGATATGGGTGGAAACACAGACAAGGAACACGACGGAAACGGCGATCATCTTGGGGACTGTGTGCATAGAAAGTCGGCCCCTGTAAGCATCTGGCTGGAGAATCTCAGAACGTTTTGCATAAACTCAAAAGATCCAGCAGGTGCAGATGCTTGCAGTGTATTGAAGCGGTGGCTATTTGGGCCAGAAGAACAACAGGGACCCCAGGCGGACACAGAAAACCCTATGAAATCAAGAGCAGCACTACCTGCACTCATTCGTGTTGCAGAGTGGAACATGCAGAAACCTAAGACGACACTCAACATCCCTGAACTGGATATTGCTCTCGAGCCGCCCCATTTGAGGCCAGGTGAGACTGAGTGTAGGAATAAATATTATTCCTATATATATATATATATATATATATATAATATATATATATATATATATATATATATATATATATATATATNATATATATATATATATATATATATATATAAGACGATGAGATGCCAGTTATAGTACGATGATGGCTAGAAGTGCAACGAATACGTGCGCTGTGTGAATACAGAGTCGGTAGATTTGTGTTTACTGTCGACGGTATATCGGAAAGCAGCAAATGAAGGATTTCATGTGCAACGGGAAGTTCACATTGTATCTATGGTTTTGCTTTTCGGGTGTCTGCGCAGGTGCAACTGGCCGAGACGAGATGGAGAAGGCTCAAGCCTTCAATCTAGTTGGAGCTATTTACGCAGGAAGAGGGACGGTGAGACATCAGCGGCCTTCTGAACGTGCAGCGTGGAAGCGGATATCTTCCGCTCTAAAGGTACTGAGGGACGTAGAGTGCAGCGATCTTCTTGGGTAATGTTGAGAGCTGCAATATCTTGAATACAGCTGATGCATCTTTGGGTGGCCATAACAAACACTCCACCCAGCTTGGGAGCCTAGCAGCGGCCTCTTGCGTTACCTAGGGACGAGGGGAGAGATCTTTTAGTAATTGATAAAGGGGCTGTATAGCATTCCAACGGAGATGCTGATGACGCCAGAGAAAGCATAAAATAAGAGAGATGGATATCGTTACCACACACGGTAGTGTAGTGAGCTGAGCCCAGCTCGCCTCCATGCGATTCCCCCCTGACTGACTACAGGAGGCAAGTCCCTGTGTCCATGCAGTAAAAGTCTGATTTATACTTTAAGAAGCATGAAACCTCACTCAAAAGGATATTAGTTCTCTACAAGGGAAATATTTCTCTTGTTTCCGGTTTACGGATAACCTCGGTGTCGGTTGCGTCACTGCCATCCCTGACCATGGGCTCAACCGCAGCGCAAGCCAGACCGAATCCGGATCCCGGAACTGTTATAAACTACGGTATCCTCGGTTTATTTGCTTTTAATTGCATACTAAGCGCTTTTAGGCTGAACTACGTGGTTTCGATGAGTTCTTCCCGGTGCTCACCACACACGGCAACGAGGGCTGAGGGATATACTTTCGTAACCCGGTTATTCTTTGCTCCTGTTTCAGAGACTTAGCACACGGGGATAGGCAGGAGAGTGGGCTCTCTTTCTGTTGTTATGTACTTCTCGCCTCCCTCCCCTTCCTCCGCTCAGAACGCAGCAGACCATTAGCTATACGCTGAGATAGATCCAGCACATCGATATATATCCGCTGAAATTATTCCACCGACCGCTTGAAGAGTCAGCTCAGAAACATAAAATGAAATCCTGTATGTAGAAGGCAACGGATATTCTGCTGGCTCTTTCCGGCCAGAAGTGGCAACGCTGCACGAGTGAACTGTGTTTAAAAACAGCACCCTGCAGTGTAATTCATTGTAATGGAAATAATTACAAATGAGAAAAATACAAATGAGCAAATACTCCTGTCGCAATCAAGAGTACATAGAGCTGTGACAGAGCGCACCCGCGACGGAGATGGCCAGCAACTGTACCCACAAAGTGCTCGCATAAGAACTGAATGAAGCAACTATATCCGTTTCAGAGATAACGAATGGCAATATGAATTAGGATTCTAATGAAGAAACAGAAGAGCCTCGTCCCCATAATATCTCTTGGTAGTTGTCGTAATCCTAGGACTTGTTAGTAGTAACGAGTGTTCACATCTATAGAAGTTTTACACAGTGAATCTCACTAACGTATTAGAGCCAATTTTTACAGTGAATGCTAATAGATACGAGCCCCTTAGGACGGGGATTCGGCGTAACAAAGCCTTCTAAGTGTATTATTAAATTATATTTTATATTATATATTATTATTAAACCCATATTAAATGTAAAATAGCATCGGGGAAGGATGCTGCTGGGTAAGAGAGAACGAGATCGTAGGGATTCGAGTCTAGATGTATGTTTAACACTGCATGACTGAACATATAAGAAGCTAGTGTATGAATACCATAAAACTGAAACTCAGTTAATTAATATGCAGGCAGCGCAGAAACAAGCCGAAGTTGCAGTGCCCTACAACGGCGCACCACCAAGCCGTCTGCGTGGAGGTGCGAGCTAAGGCATTCAAAAAAAGAAAAAAATGCTGGACTCATCGCGGGTTGACGAGACTAAAATAACAGAAAAAGATGCATATACTGTGTCTGTCGTCGAGTATGCTTCAGAAGGTGGGGAGGGAAGCAGTGTATAGCGACTCCAGTTTTTCAACTAAATTTTGTTTATATTTATTCTTCTGGCTTTCCCTTGTTCCTAATTAGCAAAACATCTCTAAAGTTGTTGGAGTTCACACCCCTATATGATGCTGCCACTTCAACGGAAAGAGAGTCGGCGTATTTCTCGCGAAGAAAGGATATAAACGCCAAAGACCCGCCGCCAATGCCGAAATAATACCTTCAACAAACAAGAATACAAAAGTTGAACGGGGATGTAAAAGAGAGAAGAAAAGCTGTACAGTGAGGATTTCAGCATATCGGCAGGAATGGCTTTGTTGTAACTTGATGCGTGGAGCAGACACTACATATATTAAGACAAGAGAGAAGAGAAATAAATAATATAAAAAAATTTATATATATATATATATATATATATATATATATATATATATATATATTGAGAAATAAATAAATATATAATAGAAAATATATTCTAATTGGCGTCGAGAGGTAGCAATGGCTTCTTATAACAAGATATTTCAATTATATACTGGAACCGAAGCTATATTGAATTCGTAGAGAACATGCAACAAAGAGAAAACTTAAAAACGAATTTACTGGGGTTTACAAAGGACACGTCAAGAAGAAGAGTAAAATAAAAATAAAGTAAAAAGTAAATATTTATTATCTCACCTCTTGGAGGCGATAAGAGCGATCCCGTCCTTGTGAAGTAAACGTTTAAATATTTCCGCAAGGGGCTCAAAAGTTTCCTCTCTGTATGTTCCTTCGGAGCAGAAAATCAAACTATATTGAATTTCTCGTGCCTTGGACTGGCGTAGAGTTTCAGTTGCTGAGTCTGGGGTTGCTGCTGGGGCTGTCAACCCATTGCTCTCTGCCACCATCTCTATCTGTTCTTCGGAATTTGTTTTTGTATTTTCGCTTGCTTTCATCTCTGCCGGTGCTTTTGTTCTTGCACATTGGCATGAACAGCAAATCTTAGGGTACTCTTCCCAGGACGCTGCCACGCAAAGGGCGCGGCCGTGCAGGAGAGTAAAGCTTCCCCCGCCCTTTTTCTGTGCGTTGCCCTCGTCTTGCGTTGGGTTACCCATAACATCTACAGAGGCAGAGGCTGCCCCAGTAGCACCGAGTTCGGCGGCTGAAGGCGAGGGAACGGCGGCATGAATGGGAACAGACAACTCATGCTGCTGTTGCAAGGCAACGCCAACGCGGTCATTCTCCGTATTCTTCAGGATGTTCCAGCGAGTTGCTAAGTTGAGCACCTTCGAACGAGAAGAGAACAAGAACACGAGGGAAAGAGGAAGGGTTTTACANTAAGGAGCTCACAGTCACATATATGAGCATATGCATCAGCGGGCAAACTACCCAAGTAACAAACTAGCTAGCCAACTGATCAGAAAAGATACAAACGAACGATCGGTGTCCACCAGGGGATCAACATTTCCATACTAAACTACTAGCGAACAAACTAGAAAGCTAGCCAGCCGCTCACTTCTCTAATGAACTAATTTACTATCAATTCTATCAACAGTCAGATGCATAAAAAAAAGCAACGAACAGAACTACTAAACTGCTCAGCCAGACCACGCGTGGCCACGCATCCATAGTAAGCTGAACACGAGAGCCACCTGCAGCAACATGAATTCTGTCGGGGCGGGAATACGGGGGATATGCATGCAAAAAAGAATGCATATGCATGCAGTTTTATTATAATAAAGTCTCACATCCTTGTTTAAGTCCTGAAATACCACGGCCGAGGCGCCGCTCTTGAGAGCCCAGATGCCCAACAAGCCATGGCCGCATCCTGCAAGCAGAACAGCTTCTTTGTGTTCACGATGAAACATAAAGAAAACAGAANCAAGCCATGGCCGCATCCTGCAAGCAGAACAGCTTCTTTGTGTTCACGATGAAACATAAAGAAAACAGAATAAGATACACGGTCATGAATTCTTTCTGTTTCTGTTTTGTAAATATTTCAGCCGATGTATTGCATGAAGCACAGAGAAAAAATTAAGGATATACAGAGAAGCATTCGCAGCCAGATGACGCACCCAGGTCCAGCACATGGCCACTGGTAAGCAGAACACGAACTTGTTTAGCTTTCGCTTTCTCTTCCTTTTGTAAGAAACCCAAAAGGTCCCACGTACACTCCCATATTGAGAAACCTCCCTCATATTCCCCTTTTTTCACCTGAAAATGCAGCAGCAACTCATGCAGCAAATACCCAATACAGGCAAGAAGAGAAAGAGAAACACAGAGAGAAGTACACAGACTGAAATACACAACGACACACATCAGAAGTGCACAGATATGCCTCTTATTAAGATGAACGCGGCCCCGCTTCGGGGCAGACGGAGCCAGAGATATAAACAGAGGTACATACGAGAGGGAATGTGAGAGAGGGAGTAGAATCAAAGACACAGAGAAGCATACACACCAAGAAACATGCATAGAAACCTATACGCGAGAGCAGTACAGCCAACGGGGGAAGCAGAGATTATGGTGAGGGACAGGCAATGCATGTACAGAGGGCTTGCTATTACTTCAGCCTGCAGGAGAACTCAATGCCTCTAGTTACAGTTTATTTAGAAAGAGATAATAAGTCATTCAGTATCTAACCAGCATATCGTTGCTGGCGGTGGGGCATCCTTTCACAGCAAAGAAAACTGCGGCTTTCTCATCATCGCCTGAGCCCTGGTTCAAGTATTCCTCTGGCGCTGCTGCTGAAGAATTCAGTTTCTTTTCTTCGCTTTCTACAGCACCCGTATGTGGCTCTGTGTGTATGCTGAGCGGTACACCTTCTGCAGTGACTCGCNTTCGCTTTCTACAGCACCCGTATGTGGCTCTGTGTGTATGCTGAGCGGTACACCTTCTGCAGTGACTCGCAATGCTGCGAATTGAGGAGGGGGCCCCCAGTCCTCAGGGAAAGCCATTTCTTTTGAGAAGAACAAAAGAAAAAATACATAAATATAAAGAAAATAGATAAAAAAAATTAATGTTCTCGTTCTAACTTAGATATTCAGAGAAGGAAGGACAGGAATACAGCAGCAACAAACTCATACGAAGAAATGCTTATACGGAGTAGCACAATGCACTGAAACGGCGGAACTACCGCAGGCTAAGCATATTTATACAGTATTTATATAATTAATTATTTTAAACGCTATAATTTTCTGAAAATATAAACAAAAATATGTAAACAATCGATGGTGAGGATAAAGATCTACATATGCCTGGGGGCCCCACGCCTGCTGAACCTCATCGCGCCTGGGGGTCTTCATCACTACACTTCGCATATCATGGTTTCATTTCACCTGAATAACTATATTTTTTGTATTTCTTTTACTTTGCAACTAAGCAACGAGCATATGCAACGGCAAGTGCCGTTTCTTCGTGCGTAGGGGGGGCCCTGCAGCGGGAAGAGGCGCTGTGGATTGGCGTCTACGAGNAAGTGCCGTTTCTTCGTGCGTAGGGGGGGCCCTGCAGCGGGAAGAGGCGCTGTGGATTGGCGTCTACGAGCAAATGCGGCTTACAACGTCCTAAAAGTTGAATAATATGGTTGAGTGAAGCAAAATATATAATATTTTCCGCCTGCTGCGCCTCATGGGCTCGCGTTGCTGCAGGCTGGCCGCCACACAAACGCCCAGTTGCGGTATACCTCTCTTATAAGCCAAGCATCCCGCCGTGCAAGCATTTTCTTCTTTTGAGTTTCTGCTACAGCTCAGCTGTGTATCTATCGTTTCTGTTTTCCTTTTTTATTTTTTTTTATTGCTTGATCGCAGCTTTCTTTGCTTTTGTCGCTCTCTCTGCGCCGTGCATATATATGTAGACGAAATGGCAGCAGAAGGACTTTCTGTATTTCTTCCTGGGGATTACTGCCCTTTGATTCGACCTTCAGAAGGAACAGCAGCAGAAGCAGCAGCTGCTGCCTCCGCCTCTGCAGCAGCAGCAGCAGGTGTAGCCCGTTCCTTTGACTGGAGTGCTGTGCATACCCCCGTGGCTCAGTCTGCTGGGAATACAGACCCGCAGCAGCAGCAGCAGCAGCAGCAGCAGCAGCAGCAGCAGCGGGAATCTTCAGTAGATATAGATGGAGCAGGGTATTGTGTGAAAGCTAGAACGGCATCTGTATTGCTGCCGCGTCACGCTCTGCCCCCCCACGCCCCCACCTACGTTTCTATCAGCAGCCACAACATATACACCCCGCGAGTAGGCGACATCGTCGTCGGTGTTGTTCACTCAAAAGGATCTGAGTATTACGGTGTACGCAACCACTTCACCTGAAACAATAAAAAAAAAACTGCAGCATATTCAGTACCATCTCCATGCTCTGATGGCTCTCATACAGAAGAGCCGTCGGTGCAGCATATACAGCTACAGTATCATCTATATATATATATATATATATATATATATATATATATTTATATTTATATTTATATATGTATGCAGGTGAATATCCGTGGCTTTGCTCCCGCGCGGCTGGCAGCGATCGCGGGCTTTGAGGGTGCGACGCGGCGCAGCAAGCCCATGCTGAGTATAGGTTCTGTGTTGCTGCTGCGTGTTTCACATATATCTCCGCTGCTGGGTGCTGATGTAACCTGCTGCAGCAGCAACTGCAGCAAACCATGGACAAGCAACGAGAAGGTTCTAGGAGAGCTCAAAGGAGGCATAGTCATTGAGGTTCCTATTCCTTTTGCATTCAGGTCTGATGACTCTGCCTGCTGCAGTGTTGCTGCTGCTGCTGCTGCTGCTGCTGCTGCTGCTGCTGCTGCTGCTGCTGCTGCTGCTGCTGCTGCTTTTTCTGCTGCAGTTACCCGTGTTGGTGTTGCTCTGCTAGTTATACACTGACTAACACTTGAATGTACATAATTTATTAGTCTATACAACAAG